GTCACTGTGGAGAGGACTGAGGGTCGGCCCGATTAGTGGGAGCGCCACCACTGATTAGTGTGCCCCGGTGGGCCGGGGGCGGAGGACAGCTCCCGCCGGGTCCTTGCTGCTGACGCGCTCGGTGTCCCTCTGCTGCGCCGCCAGCCCCTCGCAGCCCCCTCGCATGTCTTGCATGGGAAGCCTGGCCGGGGTTTGCCGGTGAGCTCTGTATCGCTGCTGTGCCCGGCTCACCCTGTAAGTCCACCTCACCTGCCATGTGTGAGATGGTCGGCTTCCTTGCCCACTTCTGGTGTCTTCTAAAGTGTAAACGTCTGAAACGAGGCCGAGGTCTAGCTCTTGGACCAGAGGACAGCAGTTAGGTTTGGAGTGTGCGTATCCTAAAACTGTTGTTAGCTTCCCGATGGATAGAAAGATGGTGTCCGGTACCAGGAAATTACCCTGATTTCACTCTTCCCCTGAGTTCTCTTGGTTTGTATCTAATGTTTACATGGTCACTAAAAGTCTCAAAATAGCAAACAGGTACAGTTCTTCCAAGTTGAGAGAGACATCAGAAGTTTCTGTTTCTGTCGCATTGACTAATGTATGCGCACTTTCTTGGTATGAAACGCTCATGGAATCCTGCAGCCAGAACCACAGGGACTGTTCTCTCAGGGGAAGGAAGAACCAACCGGGTCCTCTCGGCCCACAGCAGAATTACCCAGGGTCTCTTCGGTTATAAGATCCTTTCTTTCTGCTTCAAGTTTAGATAGCCTGCAGGATGAGATCTTTGGGGGGAAATTGTAGCTTTCTCTAAAGGGCAGTATCTTCTGTTTTCACTTTGTAAAAGTGGTGTGATTAGATATAGCCAGCCTTACTTTAGCTGTGATTTAATATGAGGCACGTTGAAAACATTCTAGAGAGTAACTTATTGTGTCGGTGGTTAATAGTTGTCACATCTGGGAATGGATACTTCCATGTGCTTTGCAAAAATTCTGTTCCTAATGTAGTTATTTATCTATTTAGTTAGTTAGTTAGTTAGTTAATACTAACTTAGTTGTTCCTCAACAGCAAGGAAAAACACAATTCAGGATTACATTTTGCAGTATTAATCCATCAATCTATTGAATTTCTGGACTTTCTTTAAAACTATCTCCACCTAGTCATCACAGTATTTTTCTCAGAGCATATTCAAGACAAATTAATTGTTGTAATTATCTTATGAATTATAGTTGCTTTCTAACTATTCATACCTTTTATGTATATCATTTGATTTTTATAATTACCCTGTGAAGTAGATATAGCATATAGTATAGATATATATACACACATATACATACAGACCTATATACATACTTAATAATAGCTCTGGTTTTGTGTATATATACTATAAAATATATTTATATATAGAATCTCCAAAGCTCTACTGTTAAGTAACTTGCTTAGCATTGCTAAATTAGTAAATAGTGGAATCAGAATTGAAACCAGGTTTTTCACTTAAAATGCAGGAAATTTGCAAAATGCAGTCCTCGAAAACAACACCTACTAACTCTGGGAAACAAAAACAGAACATTTTTTTGGATTTAACATGCTACTCTAAGTAACATTTGTCTCCTGGTAACCTAGTAACTTTCTCCCAGAGGACTTGAGGTTGTGATGGCTTTTGTTTACTTGCTACATTAGGATATTGGTCAAAAAAGGAAAGTTCTCGGAGGGAGGTGGCTCAATACTTGCAGATTCTTTATGCTTAAAAAAACTAAATCAAAATCAAATACTGACCAGTACATATAACATTTTCCTTCAATTTTAGATTTTCTTCCATTTGTATGTGATGGTTGTTCAGGAATATTTTGGTAAGTTATTTGTACAGGATTTGAAAGTAACTTTGGTGTTTGTAATATGAGGTTTACTTCTGAACAGCAAAATGATGTAAAATAGCTCTTACTTTAGCCATTGATATTTAATGTTCATTATAGTAAAATGAACACTTGAAAAAAATAGATTAGTCATGGGCTCTGATTACTTGTGCATATATTTAGCTAATCTTCTAACTTCATAGATGGCATTATCTGTGTAATTTTTCTTTTTTTAAATATATTTTTATTGATTTCAGAGAGGAAGGGAGAGGGAGAGAGATAGAAATATCAATGATGAGAGAGAATCATTGACTGGCTGCCTCCTGCACCCCCCACCCCTACCCCCCGAGGAATTGAGCCTAAAACCCTGGCATGTGCCAGGACCAGAATCAAACTGGGACCTCCTGGTTTATACATCGACACTCAACCACTGAGCAACCCTGGCTGGGCCGTGTGTGATTTTGTATGTGAAAGTTGTATTTGTGGCTTTTAATCACAAGGAGAGAACATGTCCACAATATAAAGAATATGGGAAAAATCCAGTTAATGATTATACTCTTTATTTTAATTAATAAAATGAAAGTAATGCATATTTTAAAATCAGAGCTAGAGCACATTTTTGACCTTTTATTATTGACTAGAGGCCCGGTGCACGAAAATTTGTGCACGGGGGACGGGGGGAGTCCCTCAGCCCGGCCTGTCTCCTCTCACAGTCCAGGAGCCCTTGGGGATCTCCTACTGAGGGCTTAGGCCCGTTCCCCATGGGGAGTGGGCCTAAGCTGCAGTCCAGCCTCCCTCTGTGGGAGGCGACTGGCCAATCAGGAAGGCACTGCCCCCATCACCCCCTCGCTGCTGCTGCCTCTGGCCTTCCTCTGCAGGAGGCAACTGGGCCGATCACAGGAAGGTGATGCAGCTGCTGCTGCCACTGCCAGCTGCCGGGGCTGCCTGAGCCTCGGGCCGGCCCTAGCAGCGGCAGACCCCCCTTCTCCTCCCCCCCCCCATGTTTTGGTCTTTTCACACACCTGAAAGCACTCAGAGTAAAGGAGGTAATTTAGAGTGGCGACTTTTCTTTTTCTCATATGGAAGTTGAACAATTGTGTTTGAGGCAATAGATGCTCTATTTTTATATGATAAGGTATTTCAGCTTATCCTTATTTGTAGAGTTCTTAATGTAGCATACATGTAATTAATCTTAAGGATGCTAACAACTGAAATATCTCAGGTTATGTTATCCTTACATTATTTGATTGCATTTAAATAAACACTATTTTTTTTTAATTATTTAAGCCTTGAGCACAGAAGCAGAGAGTCGCACAGCTGTCCTGAGGTATGTTAATAGTTCTCCTCTCTAATAACTCACATTTGTATTTATGTACTTTTCTTCCAATTTTTAAAAATGTATTTTTATTGATTTCAGAGGAGAAGGGAAAGGGAGAGAGATAGAAACATCAGTGATGAGAGAGAATCATTGATTGGCTGCCTCCTGCATGTCCCCTACTGGGGATCGAGCCCTCAACCCTGGCATGTGCCCTGACTGGGGAATTGAACTGTGATCTCCTGGTTCATAGATCAACACTCAACCACTGAGCCATGCCAGCTGGGCTTTCTTCCAATTTTGAAGAGGTTTCAAACCAGCCAGTGTACAGCAGATTAAAATTTGGCATACTAAGCTAATTATGCAAATTATTGTTTTTGCTTTATTTATATTATTTTTCTCAGTTTGTTTTTTGAAAAATTGATCTATTTGGTATTTTTACTTTTTTAGTCTCATAATTCTTAGTTCTTTACACTCTAGTTCTGTTTGGGTGGCCGCTTGCAGCTCTAGGCTCCCTGTTTGCAGATCTGAAACGGAATTGCCGTCCTCATGCACCCCTGCCAGTTTCCTCCACTTGTTCGTTTGCATGGTGCCTGGTGTTAGGATTTGGTGACAATCTATTGTTCTGACTCAGTCAGCCTTAGACCACCCGGAACAAACCTGTGGTCGCACAAAGTCCCATTCTAATTCTGACCACATGGAGAGCTTAAAAAGTGGCTGGCAGACAGAAACCAAAATGTCATCTGTGTTACTGATAAAGGATAAGGAGGATGATAGTAAAGCTTAGCGAGAAGAGCCCAGTAGGTCTGCAGAGAACGCCAGGACTGGGCACACTGCCTGCCCATCCCAGCAGTGCTGGACCCCGCCAGGCCTCCTCCTTGACTCCCAGGTTCAGTTCCAAGAAGAAAAAGAGAAAGCTGGGCCCACTGTCTCACATTTGACAGGTCGACAAGAGGCCCTGTCTCCCTCGGGTCAGGAGAGGCGGGAAGTTAAACTGGATTCACTCCATTTGGAAGGAAGCGTTTGCCTCACACTTTGCAGGGAACACTTATTTCTGCCCACTGTTTGCCAAGCACAAGGATTTTACATCTGTTCTGTCAGTTATAGAAAATTCAGGTTAAACGGCTTCAAAGTCTGGCCCTGCGAAGTTTAGGTGATTTATTTGCGGGAACTAAAAATTAATGAACTTATTGGTATTACGCAGGGTTAACTGGGAGGAAAATCTCATTTAGAGTCACAGAAACATGCTGATGTTTCTTATGCAACTTGTAAATCTGCCCCGTGCTTTCCTTTTTCTTATGATACCACTTGATTTTCTTTTAATGTCTCTCACAGAATGTCTCTCAATTGGATCTCCATTAAATAGTGAAGAAAAATCACTTACCGTGAGACTGTGGGAACAAGTTTGGAAAAATAGTTAAGTCAATTCCAACAAGATGCAACTATCATTTATATGGAGGAGTGTCTTTGATTGTGGATTTCAAGCAATTATTTCTCTAAATTCATTCAACTCTAGAAACGTAGTTACTTAATACACCCCCCCCCCCCCCCCCCCCCCCCGTCGAAAGTGCACTGTAAGCCCCTTCACTTGTATGAAAGACCCACATTAGTACCTGTTTGTGCTAACCTAAAGAAACCCAGAAAGGATGTCCACTTTTACAAAAAAAGGGAGGAGGGAAAATAGCATTTAACACTTGTTTTGCAGTGAGCCATTCACTACACAGGCAGCGCACCCCGAGCTGTGAGAGCGGCCCGGCAAGCTCCTTCCCCCGGAATCATGCTCAGCATCTCGGCATTAGGGCCCCCCAGCTTTGAACTGTGTCTGAGCATCTGGGAGACCCATTTTGGGGTCTGGGAACAGGGAAAAAATTTTCCATGTAAATTAATGGTCATTGCGCCATTTCGGTTTATGAAAAGTTTCATAGGTAGGAATGCTCAGCTACTTTCGGATAGTGGGGGACACCTGTAGTCAAAAGAGCCTGGTTGATCTGGATTTTTTTTTTTAATCTTATAAAATCTCATCTTTTTCTGATGTAATATTTGCTGGGAATACAATACTAAATACACATCACGAACAGTATATCATTATGAAAACTGTCTTTAACCCTCTGTATCATGGATAAACATAATTTTAAGTGTTCATTTATATATACTTAACTACTTAAAATTGGTGTAGAAAATAGATAGACTTGCCATTGAGGACTGATGTTGAGATGACTACCTGAGCATGTTAGTATGGGGGCATCTTTGTGTTGGACCGTTACAAAGTAGAAGACTAAAATTATAAAGAGTAACTCAATAGTCACGGTAAATTGATTTAGAAGATAAATATACCACAGTAGATGATTATGAAAATGTAGAACAGTCAACACAATAATCATTTCTCACACAAATATTTACTATAATCTGTTTTGTGGGAGCATCGAAGTTGCTCTTATAAGTTTAAGCAGCAGTAAAATGAATGCTGCCTTTCAAAATAGATTTGTTGACTTATTCTCCATGTGAAATACACCAATTTCTCCTTTTTACATTTTCAGGTGACTGTAGTCAAGGAGAGGCTGAAGTCAGATACACATGCGTCTTACCCATGTGCGTTCAAGGGCTGTGCTGAGAAAGAGCTTGTACCAGTGACCTGTCCTCACTGTGAGAAGAACTTTTGCCTGAGGTGAGCACTCAGATCCCCCACACTCTGTGTATCTGTTTAACTTGTATACAGATACTTGAACTGGTGTCACTCTTCTGTTGCTCACAGACACCGTCACCAGTCAGATCATGAATGTGAAAAACTGGAACTCCCTAAGCCTCGCATGGCTGGCACTCAGAAACTTGTTAGAGACATTATTGGCAAGTACCAAGGAAACTGGTTTCATTGCTTTCTGTGTTGCTGTCTACCTATTAGTTCCAAAGCTCCTGCTGCTTATGTCTGCTTCTCAGTATGGAAGGCATTGTTAACAGCCCCGGTGGGCTGAAACTTGCAATCTATTTTGATGATACTCTTGCAACAGTATTTCTCACAAAGCCAGATGTTTTCCTGCTCGGCCACTCAGATCAGCTGGTTAACCATCACAGCTAGAAATAGTTTCACGGAGCTAAAGTAGTGGTTTGTAGTCTCTAAAGACTAAATGTTAAGCCTAGTCTGCTGTCCTAAGAATGCTGTTACAATCTGAGGTACCAGGAAAGAATCTATAATAATAAAAGCGTAATATGCTAATTAGACCGGACGTCCTTCCGGTCGACCTTCCGGATGAAGTTGGGTCTGCAAGGGAAGCCCGGGTCCCGGGTGCCTGTCAGTGGCCAGAGGGAAGCCTGGGTACCGGGTGCCAGAGGGAAGCTGGTGCTGGCAGCCTGGAGAAGGAAGGCCTACTCGTGCACGAAATTCGTGCATCGGGCCTCTAGTATATCTGTAAACTAGACCAGTCTCTGCCAACATGTTAGTTCAGCAGAATTTTCATTCTTTGTAAGGACGCTACCTTTAATAAAATCTTCTATAACCAAATCTTAAAGTTCTCTGTGGAAGTGTTAGTGATTAGAGTAAATCAGCTTAAGTTCGAAAGAAGCACCACACTAAGGGTTTTGATGTGGAGATTGTCAATATTTTAAATATACCTACACAATATGTTGTCTCTGTAGAGCTCCGTTGTGTGTAGTTTTTGTATGTTTCAGAGCCATAAAAAATTAATCACGGAGGATGGGCTGAGACCATCCTCCGCCCCTGTGCCCACCGCAGCCTTGCAGCCCACAGTTCCTTTCAAGGTGCACAAATTCATGCACTGGGCCCCTAGTAGTTAATAAAAGTCTAGAAAATATAATGTAAACATTTTGTGTTTATATGCTTATTTTTATTTCTTAGATTCCAAGACAGGAGAGACAGCGAATAAGCGACGGAAGGGTGCAAAAAATAGCGCAACAGCTGCCAAGGTAGCACTGATGAAATTAAAGATGCATGCTGATGGGGATAAGTCACTGCCCCAGGTTGGTCTTGGAGACTTTGAAAAACAAAATGTTTACATGTGGTTGAAGCCCCTCTCTACTCCTCCCTCCCATCTAGTAACAACTAACCTGAACCTGATGTGTATCTTTCCTAGTGTTACAGGTGTGTAGCTACATAAAAAATGGTACATTGTTTTGTGAGATTTTCACTTTATAGAAATGGCAAGGAGTCATACGTATCCTTCCTCAGCTCTTTTTTTTTTTCACTTGGCATCATGTTTTTAGCATTTATCCATGTTGACACATTTGGTCTAGTTTGTTCATTGTGATAACTGCAAATCCCATAATATGAATATACCACATTTATTCATTCTCATGATGAACAATATTCAGAATTTTTCCAAGTTTTTTTGCTATTATAAACTGTTCAACAGTGACTGTCCTTGTGTGTATATGGGAATGTCTCAGTAGGGCAGTTCCTTTAAAAAGCCATAATGTCAATTGTATTTTATACAGCAACCCAGTACATACATACATAGATACATGCATACATACCTTAACACAGTTTCACCTAACCTTACACTGGTATTTTCTAATTCTATTTTGTTTTAAAGAGTATTGATTTTATAACCCCTGAAGGATTGAGGCCCTCAGATTGAAAAATGCTCCCCTGGGGAAGATACGGAGAAATAGAAAAGCTGGGTCCTGGGCTTTGCTTATCCTCAGGTTTCCTGGATGCTGTCAACTTTGTGCTCAGTGGTTGTGCTAATTTTTTGTCTGAGGGTTTCAGGGTTTCTTGCCAACACTGGGTGTTATTCATTGTTACCAAACTGATAGATATGAAGTTATGTCTCATTGAGGTTTAAAGTTAAATTTCCCTTTTGACAATTAAGGTTCAGTTATTTTGCATGAGTTTATTGGCTATTGACTTTCTTCTGTGAATTATTTGTTCATATCCTTTGCCTACTTTTTCTGTTGGGTTGTTGCACTTTTTTTTACTCTAGATCAGTGGTTCTCAACCTTCCTAATGCCGCGACCCTTTAATACAGTTCCTCATGTTGTGGTGACCCCCAACCATAAAATTATTTTCGTTGCTACTTCATAACTGTAATTTTGCTACTGTTATGAATCGTAATGTAATTATATATGTGTTTTCCGATGGTGAACCCTGTGAAAGGGTCGTTCGACCCCCAAAGGGGTCGCGACCCACAGGTTGAGATCCGCTGCTCTAGATGTTCTGCATTTTTTTACTACATGTGTTGCACATTTCCTCTCTCAATTTGTGGTTTGTCTTCTCTTTGTTTTTTATGAGTGGTTCAGACTTTTAAAATTTTAATATGTTCAAATTTATTAGTGATTTCTCTAAGATTTGTACTTTTCAAAGTAAATTGTTTAAGATATTTTCTTACATTTTCCTTTAAAAGCTTTATTTTATTTGCTTATTTTGTGTAGCTCTTTATTCCATTTAATTATAAGTAGAAGTAAAGATTTACACATATACACATATCTGAATGGATTACCTATGGTCATAACATAAGGTACTGAGAGTTCATCCTTGTAATTACACCTCAGTCACCTACCATATAGTACACATGGGACTAGTTTGGGACTGTCCATCTTTTCATTAATATCAAACTAGCTTATTATCATAGCTGTGTAAGAAGTAGGGCACGTTTCTCCACCTTACTTTTTGCTTCCAGCTGTGTCTATTCTTGGCTCTTTATTCTTTTGTAAAAATTGTAGGATCACTTTGTCCTGTTCTATGAAATTGTGCTTGATAGGAATTATACTGAATTTTCTATTAGAACGGTTTACTTCTTTAGAATTTTGACTCTTCTCATCCCATCCATATTTGTTGTCTATTGTTCCAATTTTTCTTTAGGTCTTCTTTTCTGTCTTTAAATAACATCTGTAATGCTTACCATTCATATCTATATGTCTTTTCTTAATTATATTCTTAGGTTCTTCCTAATTTTTGCTGCCATCGTAAATAATAACTTTTAAAAAACTTAACGCTTCCTTAATTGGTTATGCTGGTTGTTGTTTGTTGTCCTGTCCTGCAAAGAAACCTCTCATTGTTCCCATGGTTTATAGGCTTTCTGGGATGTTTTCATGCAGTTATATTTTCTGCAAATGACAGTTTTGTGTTTTGGTGTTTCTTTTCCTCAAATTTTCTTTCCTCTGACTCCTGCTTTTCATCATTATTTGTCTTAATGCATGGGTTGATCTCTACAGATCAGGACTGAATAATATGGGTGACAGCAGACATCTTCATCACAGTTCTGACTTTAATCCAAATGAGTCTGAAGTTTCAACATTAAATATTTTCTTTATTGTAGGTTGTTCATAGTTGCCTTTATCGGGTTAACAATATTTCTTTCTATTCCTAGCTTACTAGAAATTTATGTCGTGAATACTTATTAAATTTTTCTGTGGGTTTTTTCCCTACATCTAATAAGATGATCATGTTGATGTATTTTTTTGTTATTGTTTTTCCTTATCAGTGTGATAAATTATGTTGATTGATTTTCTGTTGTTGAATCACCCACATTTTCTGGGATAAACCACTTGACTTTGGTATATAATTCTTTTAAAATGCACTATTACATTGATTTTCTAATATGTTACTTAGTAGTATTTTGTGCCATTAGTAGCCAGATTATACTTATAAAATTAGTTGAGTAGGTTTCCCTCTTCTATTCTTTGAAATAGTTGTAGAAGGTGGGATTCTTTGTTGTTGAAGCTTTGGTAATGGTTATTATAGCCTTTTTGAAAAAGCGGAGAATATCTAACATGATTTCAAAATGTTAAATAGTTCTTGGTTTATTTGGATAATCTGTTGCTTCTGAAATAAATGTTGGTAAATAATATTTTTCTTAAAATTCCTGGTGTAGATTCTCCTGTTTATTATTATAAAGTTGTTCAACTTATTCTCTTAAATAAGAGAATTCCAGAATCTCTACTGTGTCTTTAGTCATTCCATTTCATTCTTAATATTTTTTCATTTGCATCTCTCTTTGTTTTCTCCTTGGCCGGTCTTCCTAGATGTTTGTGTTTATTTTATTTATTTATATTTTAGTCTTTTCAAAGAACCATATTTTGGTTTTATTGTCCTCTGTATTGTTGCTTTGCTTTCTTTTTCACCAAACTCTGGGTGTCCTTTTTTCTTTGTTCATATTTTTTCTGATGTACTTTTTTCATCTTTTCTCATTCAATGGTGAACTTATCTGTTTTCAACCTACTTGTTTGGGTGTGTTTTTCAGGTAACTTTAATTTGATATAGTTGCAAACACAAAATAGTAGCAAGAATAGTACAAAGAAATTTTCCACATTTTTTACCCAAATATACCAGTTAATTACATTTTGCCCTTACTTGCTTTATCATTTGCAGTCTCTCTCTTTGTACATATGTCTACACATGTGTACCTGTGTTTGTATGTGTGTGCATACTAATTTTTGGTTTGCTTATGTATTAGTTTCTGAGACAGGTGTGTTAATATCTCCTGGAGCTGTGGTTTTGTCAGGGTTTTTCTTGTAATTCTAATGGTTTTGCTGAGTTGCATATTATCAGATGTATGGAATTCTCCATTATTATATCTCCTTTATGAATTTTTTTTAAAATATATTTTATTGATTTTTTACAGAGAGGAAGGGAGAGGGATAGAGAGTTAGAAACATCGATGAGAGAGAAACATCGAACAGCTGCCTCCTGCACACTCCCTACTGGGGATGTGCCCGCAACCAAGGTACATGCCCTTGATTGGAATCGAACCTGGGACCCTTGAGTCCGCAGGCCGACGCCCTATCCACTGAGCCAAACCGGTTCGGCCTCCTTTATGAATTTTGCCTTTAATGCTATTTTGAATTATAATAGTACTAGGGGCCCAGTGCACAAATTCGTGCACTGTGAAAGGAACTGTGGGATGCAAGGCTGTGGTGGGCACAGGGGCGGGTCTTGGCCTATCCTCCGTGCCCCCTCCTGGCCCCTCCCACCACGGCCCACGGTCCCTTGTCTGCCAGAAGCCCCGCTCCCGCCGCCGCCACTCCCATCCGCTGATGGCACGGAGCAATTGGGGCCAGTGCCATCAGTGGGTGCAAGCAGCAGCTGCTGCCCTGATCTCCCCTCAGGAGCAGGGGGAGGTGGAGAAGCCCTCACGGGCGATCAGGGCTAGCAGCCACTGTTTGCACCCACTGACAGCACCGAGTGATCAGGACCGGTGCTGGGTGCCGGCACCTGGTGTGAGCGGAGGCTCCGCCGCCAGCTGCAGGTGCAAGTGGGGCTGGTGCCAGCAGCAGGTGTGAGCTCCTGGCAGGACCACAGTTCACGGGAGCAAAGAATTTTCAGTAACCACCAGAGGCTCGCCCCGATGACAGCGACTGGTGCCCCGCCTTGGTCTGGCGCCCCCACTTACCTGCTCCACCATCCCGCCGCGGCCAATGCCTGCCATGTTCCGCGCTCTCCCACCTGCTGCCAACGCCCACCATGTTCCACGTTTGCCCCCTGGTGGTCAGTGCACATCATAGCGACCAGTTGTTCAGTTGTTCCGCTGTTTGGTCTATTTGCATATTAGGGTTTTATCCTATCTAATAATAGACAAACATGGTAATTGACCATACCTTCACTACGCCTCACATTGGCTAATCAGCACGATATGCAAATTAGCCACCAACAAAGATGGCGGCTAATTTGCATACTGTAGGCAGGGTGGCAGCAAGCCGCCAGTGTGCCGCCATCCAGGGCAGGCCTGCCCCAGAAGCCCCAGCAGCAGGCCTGCCTTGCCGCCAGGGACCCGATTGGCAGGTCCTGGGCGGCAAGGCAGGCTGGCCCCAGAAGACCCAGAAGCCACCTGATATGGTAGTAACTCTATCAGTAAGCACTTTGAAAGTCAGTGGCATAAATGCACTAATTGAAAGAAAGATTATGAGGGTGAATCAAAAACAAAACCCACTTTAAATATAAAGACACATATTGCCGAAACCGGTTTGGCTCAGTGGATAGAGCGTTGGCCTGCAGACTGAAAGGTCCCAGGTTCGATTCCGGT